ATTGTGGACAGATGTTCGTCAGCACAAACATCTGTCCACAATCGAACACGACAATAGCGTCCTCCGCCCGTAGTAGCGTATCTCCGCACAATGTAGACTATGCCGTCACCATACAGCTCACCTGAAAGGCCGCGAAAAGATCAACGCCGTGCCGGTCATGTTGCACACCATCTCCCATCTCGACGACAGGCGACCCCAGGCAGCCCCACGCGACCACCCACTGGACCCTCAGCAATATATTTTAGCGGATGCAAAATCTGCAGGGTCATTCGAATCGAGAGCGGCGGGCAGGGCGAACCGAGGCGAGACGGAAAATCGTAGGCGACGGCACGATGGGGAGGGTGTGGTAGGATCTACAAAGATCGACGTGGTGATGTGTTCCACGGAGGGGATGACAAAGCGTGTGGGTAATAGCTGACATGGATTGTAACTCATGTTCGCTGTTTGGTGGGAATTCTGAAGCTGCTGGTGCTTGTATGTGGGGTTGGCGAAGTGATCGAAATGGGTGTCGAGTGTGTCGGCTCTTCGTTTCGAGGATGTGTGGACGTAAGATCGGCGTTGCGTGAGACGGTCGAAGGAGGTAGTGGCATGGCTTTTCGAAGGACATATGCCAGCATCAGGTGGGGTGATGTCGGCCGCGTATTTCCCAATTTGCCAGTCGTGCGTTATTGCGACCGGAGAACCGATACCCTCATCAGCGCACCTTCAGTCTCCCTTCTTTTCATCTCCCAACCCTCACTTCTCGTGTATGCCAGCCTAACCACTCCTCCCCTCTTATTGAAATACCGAATTCCCTCATCAAAGTTGTCTTCCCCATCTTTTCCAACCTCTCATTTCCCATTCTCTCGCGCCTCTTTCTCCCTCCTACGCTCAGCAAATCCCGCCATCTTCCTCTCCATCTCGTTCTTCTTGAGCATCAACTCGGCGCGCGTAGTCTCGAGCTGTGCGATGCGTTCTTCGGGCGTGGCTTCGATCATGTATCGTGTTTTCTATGAGGAGTGGGGTTAGTGGGTGAGGACAGGTGGATGGCTGTAGCGAAGGAAGGTTCGGCGTGCGCATTGAGGGGAAGGGCTGTCGGGAGGAGGGCTGCAATATATGAAGGATGATGGAACATACCTGTTTAACTTCCTGCTGTCCCTTCAATCCGGCACCGTAGATAGTACCCGTAATCGTAATCGAAGCGACGGCAGCTGTCATGATCCACCGACGAACCGTCTGAAGGGTCGCCATGTTTCCTGTAATACCAGAAATGGAGTAATTCGGTAGGACGACGTGTCAATGGCGGTACACAGTCATGTTGTGATGAACAAAAAGGTTGCTCTGGGAGGAAAAAGTGCGACGACCTTCGGTGGATATCCAATCAACCGCCAAGGCCTTTTCGCCGCGGGAGTCCCACCAACAAAGCCGATGCCGTGCGACGCGCCCTCCCCCACACGCATTCCAACACAACACAAACAAACACACTCCTTCTAAACCTCTCGACACTACCTGACGTCGAGCCGCCGCTCTCGTAAAAGAACACGATCAGACAATCGCAATGTCAAACGTCCCCCGCTCCCACACCCCCGCCGGCGGTTCACGCCTCAGCACCGTCCCCTCGCAGAAGCCGCGCCAACTCTCGCACCTACAAGCGCAACTCGCGCAATTGACGGCGAATATGTCGGATCTGGAAAGCTTGATGCGTATGACAGCCGGTCAGGCGCAGGACATGCGTGGTCTGGGTGGGTATGCTGGTGCTATGTGAGTTGGTCCCGCGGAACAGCAGGGTGGCTGGAAGGTGTTGGGTTGAGCTTGGATTTCGAAACAGGGTGGCATGCTAATGAGATGTGTGTAGGTTTATGGCTGCGAGTAAAGTTTTGGGTGAAGAGACGGTCAAGGGGGGAGGGGGTGATAAGGAAGGCAAAGAGGGCGATAAGTGAGGCGGAGGGCTGAGAGGAGAGAGATTATGCAACATCCCACCAGAAGTACCACGATACGCATCGACGATAACGCGCCGCGGAGTTGTATCTACGACGATAGACGAGACGGATATTGTGCAGGAGATAGGGAGGCCAGGTACCCCCATCTCTCCTTTGGAGACACGCGGTATTCTTGCCAGCCAACAAGAGATGGACTGGGTCAGATCTCGGGAGCGTATCACAGCTGAAGTACCTATACTCGCTGGAAGATGGGATTCAGTGCAAGAGAAACGAACATGGCTCATGTCCACGCGACGCGTCGCGTCGTGTCGTGATGCGCGGGTGTGCATCCGTAGTAGATATCCAGCAATGTACTCAGTTACGCGCTCTGTCGATATCCATACCCACACCCATCTCATCCTACCCTCTACATTCGTCATTCCAACATGTTATGCCCAACCGTCGTTCCAATCACTTCGCAGAATGGAACAAGACATTCGCCGACGGCGAGCCAGCCCCCTAGTCATTGTCCTACTATCAAAACCGCGCACAGATGTCTCACTCCCCCAGTTCCCCAACATCTCCAGAACGATAACCTCCAGGCTACCGAACTTCCAGCCACGCAGCACCACATCTCCCGTTCGCCGCGTTCCGTTCCCAGTTCATCCAATGATACTAACGCTCGACCGCATACCCGCAACAGACATACATGCACGTCCGCGTACCTTGCATCAGATAAGGGTCCTTACCGAGAGATAGGTACTATCACTATCTCTACTATCTCCTCGCTGCGCCTTCAAACGGCAACCCACAAGCCAATGAAGTCCGGGGAACTGTGGCTGGCCTTCCTATCGTGGACATGGTTTCAGAGTTTGTGAGGCTCAATGGCCCATGTGAGCCTCGGAGGGGGGGTTGGCAGGTCAATCATGGACCACTAAGCGTGGCGTTATCAATCGCGCAATGATAACGAGCGATGGTCTCACCGGCCTATCTATGCGTGCGTAAGGTTTTTCGCTGGGTCTGAGCGTGCGTGTGCGAGGGTTATAAGTACACGGGTATCGTCTTTGTGTGTTAAATTCGATGGTGCTTACTCTTGCTGCTGGACTCGATTCCGCTCCGCCGTTCGACTGCCTCTTCCGGAATGCCAAGACAATATACTTTGGATTGATGCGACTTTACCTACCTGGGACGGATAGATGATGGACGACAGTGGATGACGATGGAGATGGAAAGACGGTGAGGAGGTCCATGGTAGTCCCCGGGGTCTCTCGATCGGTTCGACCTCGTTGCGAGACAGCCTCACGATTTCACCACAGCATGAAGCTATTCGCACATTTCACGCCGCCCGCCGAGCCACGCAACGCAATACCCCCGCTACCCATGCCCGCCGAGCAGCGCCCAAGACGGCGAGTAGCGCCGTCAGACGTCATTGTATTTTCGCAACATCGGCAAAGCGTTGATCGCTACAATACGCTCGAGTGACATCGAGTCGCAGCGCCCGACCAAGGCTGGCCTGGCCTGATCAACCGGAACAAGGACTAGAAACGGAACAAGAGCACGCGAGCCTCCACGTCAGCGCCCCGGCAGCAAGCACACGAGCAGGACCCTTTCCCGTCCGCCCTCGTCTTAACCCACGATCGGCCCCCAGTACGATGGCCAACCGTTGCGAGCCCAACTGTGGAGATCGTCCGTCCGTCCAAGCGACCGACGGACGTGTGGTCGATGAGGAGGAGACGGACAGGCGAGGGGGCCCATCGTCATCGTCCAAAGGGAAATTTCCCCCGAATCATTTTGCCAATATACAACGTCTAAATGAATCACGTACACGGACCCCCACGGGCATCCCGCGTTTTCGTATCAGGAGCGCATGCGACCTTGCCCACTCAGCAGACAGCCAATGTTTCAACTCGACCAACGAAGACGTGCATCCGTCTTGTTAAGACGAGGGGGGGCTGTGTAATACCATTTCTTCATCGGGTCGGGCGGTTGGGTAGTTCCGCGTCAGTTGTGGATTTTGGTATACAATTTGCCAGCACGCCATACAGCCGTCCGGACATTGCGTGCTCGCAACGGATATTTCCGCGGTAGCCCTGGAGAAGCACAAAGGAAATGAAATAGAGCGGGATCGGATGGTCGCTTCGCTTGGTCGGGCCAGAAGAAAAATCAGGATTACAGCCAGTGCAAGACCGCAGAAAGCAGAATAGCATGGTAAAATTGCAAGTGTGTTGAACGACATCTGCGTCTGTAGCGTGCCCAAGTCGGCAATGCGGCGACAAGCGAGGTTAGAGCGGTATCTGTCGGGTTTAGCAAAGCGTCTAGGCTCCACATCCTGGCTGATTGCATGCATGCAAGTCAGATGCAAGTGGATTGGGAGGCTTGCATGAGACAGGGGATACAGCAGCGAGGCCGCTTACTCTCTGGGGCAATGAGCGTGGGGTCGCTGCGTGCGATCAATATCTGGCATACCCTGCCTATGCATGGTTTTGTCATTGATGAGTAACTGCTAGCGGGCGGGTTGTTCCTGTAGGATTCACGTAGGAGTGAGATGCAGGATTAGTTGTTTACGCTGTTGCGCGTCCTATGTGTATTCGTACCTTTTTCTGTTTCCGAGCCTTTGACATGTGAAACTCCACCACGGCGGTCGGACAACAGGGGTCCGGCGATTGTATCCAGGTTAGCGGACGCGCAACATCAAACATTGGGTGTTCGCGGCTGGTGCTAGATGAAATCGACGGCCGAAGTAATGCCATTGCAGATGTCGGAGGGAGTCGAGTGGAAAGATCAACATCGCCCTGGACCCTTTACTTTGGTGGGTAACCCGGTGGGTACGCAGTTCGACCTGGAAAAGCAATATGCTGCATGAAACGAGTCCACCAATAGCCAGCTCCCTGTAAGCTGATATTAGGGACAGCTCGCGGCTAAAATTGTCGTCCGGTTGGAAAGGAGGGGACCGAGAGCGAGAAAGCGAAAGCAACGGCGTCCGATCCACAGGTACCGCTCAGCGTGCCTCAAGATCGTTGGGAATGTAACGTGGTCCGTTGTCAGTCGGATAGTGTATTGAAGGAGCCGTCGAGTCTTCCCTGCCCGATGCGGCCCTAACATAAAGTCGAGATCTTGAACTGCAATAGGTGCATAGTTCTAGAAGGAGAGGTACGCCCGCCACTGCGACAGCGACTACAGGACAAGCTGCATGTTCTCGACTTTACAGTTCAGGTGTCTCCACCGTCCGCGTCACCGTTGGATCTTGCATCGTCCTGGTAATGTATCTCCCACCCGTCCGGATCTTGACTGCGGAACCGCAGGTCAGTCAGGCCCCCCAGGCAAGAGATTGAAAGTATATACTTGTGAAGAAGCAGAGTTTGGTTGTGCCAATGCCCTGCGAGGGAGCAGCAGCCGCGGCCCAATGGCGTCAGCTGCAGTGTTACGGTTGTTGAGTGCGCCACAAACTTGCAATGGCGTGTGTTTTGCTACCGGCAGGCGTTGTCGGATGAGCGACTGAAAGCGCAGTTCACTTGCAACCACGTGCTCCGCGCTATGTGCGGTGGATCGTTGTGTGGGCCTGGTAAACAAAGACCCTGAGATTTGTGAGGCTATCGGGAAATCTAGGAAAGGAAGTGCCGAGATGCAGTCGCGTTCGGCACCATTCGGATGACATGCTCCACCGTCGGGTAAACGATGGGAGTGCTATGGATCTATACACGCGGTGAAAGCCCTCTTGTTCGGCGCTGGTCACAAGACACAATACTGCTATTGCATGCAGTCGGCTGACAAGCTCGCGGTGACGGTGAGGCAGGCGAGGCAAGGCATACTTGCCCTGGGTCGAGCAGTGCAGCCTCCATCGAGGCTACAGCGTAGCGCAGCGTAGACGTCGACAGGAGCGGGTAGGCAATGCACAGGAGCCAATCGAGGCGGGCTGCAGATGTCTCTTCGCGTAAGCTTTTGCCGGCTGGTGTTGGTGGGCCGTAGTCGTGCAGTAGAACATGTCAAGAGGGAACATTGGCGAGGCCTGAAGGAAGTGACGTCCCGGGATCAGCGCAGTGCAGATGGCATCGTGAATCGTGGTTTCTCTAATTGTTCTCGAAACGAGACACCGAGGGCCTAGGGTTCTTCTGGTAGGGCTCTGGTGTTGACTGGCGTCGCTGGTCTGCACGACAGCAGCACACGCCGACAAATTGGCCGCTCGTAATTCTGAGCTCCGAGACTCTGTCCGGGGTTCCCAAGAATCCTCGCAGCACGGTTCAGGCGGTCTCGATAGGAGCAAGGGCGTGCATGCTAAGCGGCAGGCAAGCATTCTCCCGTTCAGCCCACACACACCTCGCGGGCCATGAGCTCAACCGCCGTGGGTCATCGCACATCTGAGGTTGCAGTGGCTGCGGGCCCGGAGGCTTCACGCCGCAAACGCGTCAGGTCTGGGTGTCGTGTGCGCGCAGCATTGCTTTTCTGAGTCGCGCACTTGACGACAGTGTGGAGAGGGCGTGCCGCGCTGCGAGGGTAGGGAACGCCCCAAACAGGACCCTAGCAGCTAGGGTGCAGGCTGCACGTGTGATTGGCGTCCGAGAGTGAAGAGAGTGAATGGTGGGGGCAGCGTAGTCTGAGCGTGGGTGCCGAACGCTCCACACAGGCATCTCATTCTGCTCACCAAGGCCCAGCGTCACGACTCACGACCCACCCAGTGCCACCGGCTGCCCGTCGCACGCTGGAGCCCGCATCGCTGCAATTCAATTATTGCGCCGCTCACTGGTCCCGGGAGCGCGAACATTTCGAGCCTTGTTCCCCGTGGAGGACAGCAGCCACAGTCCAATATCTACTCGTGACAGGCCGTTGTCGCTGTGCGAGGCCAGCACTCAGCACGCATCAAGCAACTGACAATCCCGCTCTTACGCTGGGCCTCTCGAACCTAGTATTATTTCTCGCAGCCTACCTTCCAGTGCCAGTGCAGGGCCTACTTCGGCTTGGTTGCAGCTGAGGTCCGCAGCTAACGTGGGGTGCGCCCATCCGATTCAGAGCACGCGCCGACGCAG